CCTTCGGAATGGCGTCCAGCTTGACTCCATCACTATCCTCAACCTCCTTGAGTACCCCTTCCTTCTTCTCCTCCTTTTCATCAACCTGCGGGTTAGAGAGCTCCTCTGAGGATCATATACGAGGCCCACCTGCTGCTTGTCGTCCAAAGCCTCGGCCTTCTCTTGGTCCTTCTCGTCGGCTCTCTCCCGATCAGCCTCATTGGCATTGGATCGAGCGAAGCGGCCCTAGAGACTATCATGTAGTACCCTCGGAACAGCATCGCTCCGCTATTACACTCGACAGGAGATTACGAAGGAAGTTCTGACTACTCCTTTTCTCTCCCTCTTGTTCTTTGCTCTCCTCTTTCAAGCGCTCCTCAAACCTGCATACAATGTCCACTGTAGGGCCCTAGAGACCCCAGAGGGCCTTGCTGTTACCTTTTCAGTTCCTCTTGCTTCTTGATGTAAGCCCCGGTGACAAAGGCCTCTCCTTCGTCACCAATCTCATCCTTGGCCTTCTCCCGTTCCTTCCGGTTGAATTTCATTTTTATCAGGTCCGTCTCCTTCGCTCTATGATCAGCCGTCAAAAGTATCTACTCTCAAGAGTATCGCCACACACGCTCCCTACCATCAATCCTACATGATCCATATGCTTAGAGTGCTTGTTCTTGAAAGCATCCTGGGCATGTAGCGCTCCTTCCTTGGTCACGTGGACAAGCCCTGGTCGGTTAAGGGCCTTCGTTGGCGATAGCGGCTCTAATAACCACACCACAGGTAATTCCCCATGCGTTCTTGAGGAGGGATACTACTCTCTTTTGGTCGTTCCCGCCGAAGCCGTTCACTCGAGCCGCTGTCGAGACTGGAGACCTCATCTTCATCACCTTGCTCCTGATCGTAGTCGAATACACCAGCGGCTGCCATGTTGCTGATCTCCGTCTTCTCTATCTTGGACAACTGAAGCGAGCGATAATTACCCCTCGAGCATGATCTGCAGCAGCCACGTTTGATAGGCCGAGTCGCGCAAACTCAGTGGGAAAATATGCACGTGTTGGGGACAGAATGGAAATTCTGAAGAAATTCCGGGAGATCCATGTTGGACTTTGAGCACTCCTACCCGAATTCGTATATAAGCTTCTATAATCAATGAGTATATTCCTCCTATACGGAGTCTACCAGCCTACCGAAGCCTGTGTCGAGATCAAGGGAAGACTTTGCCCCGGTAACCCAGATCCCGAAGAGCGCTCTTCCTCTTGCATGGACTCCGCAAATAACGCCTAGTCGATGAAGATTCGAACGATGATACTACACCGACCATATTACATTCACTGCTGTAGTTGGCTGCGGTCGCGCCTTCGCTTTAGGTTTGCTTTTCTTTAATGAGAGTGTAGCGAAGTGGCCTGAAGTCTTTTGTGGGCCAAGTTGAAAATTCATCACCAAAATCGAGAGACCCCCAATCTTATCAACTAAGCAAACCCCCTTCGGCCACCGTTACTACTACTAGCAACTCAAGAGCTCAAGAAGCGAATGTGGATAGTATGGCTATCGAACAGAGGCATCAATTGTCTTGTTAAAACAGAAACAGACAGAAAATTCCTTTAACAGCCATCTGCCTATCAATCGACGTAGTACTGTGAACTGGGAATGATGACCAGACTCATTATTCAGCTGGGCTTGCAGTGAACTTACTCGCTATAAACATGCTTCTTATTACTCCTCCTTCTGCTCATCCTCAGCAGGCTTGTTCACGATAGGCTTCATAGCGGGATAGAGGATAACCTCCTTGATGTTGATGTTATCAGTGAGGAACATGCAGAGCCTATCAAGCAACATAAAGGCTCCATAAGCTCAGCTATGAGATAGTACTACCTATCCACACCGAGACCCCAGCCACCGGTGGGGGGAAGACCATACTCCAACGCTGTAACGAAGCCGTTATCAACATCACACGCCTCGTCATCTCCCTAAGAGAAAAACCAGATGCCGACCGTTCCGGAAGGTTGTTGTATGCAGTTACCGCAGCCTTAGCCTGGGCCTGGGCGGTGAAGCAAGCGAGCTGCTTTACAGGGTCGTTCAACTCCGTATATGCATTGCATATCTCCTTACCCATTACGAAACCCTCAAACCTGAACATCAATACATACCATCGTACTCATATGCATTACCTCTCAGTGAGGCCGGGCTTGGAGCGGTGCCACTTGGCTAGAGGGGACATGATCTGGGGATGCTCTGTGACGAAAGTGGGACTCACTATCTTGTCCTGAAAAGCGAGCAGGATAAAATTTTGTACTCCAAATATAGATACTCAAGACGGTGAAACTTTCAGCCGAAGATTGATACTGCTAGATACCCCTAGCACCACTCACCTCAATGAAGAAGCCACAGAGCTTGTCGAGAAGACGAGCAGAAGTCCTGGGAGCAGGGCATTCCACATCAAACTTGGTAGCCAGCTCGTCCAGCTGCTGACGAGCCTCCTCAGCGGCGAAATCATGATTAAGCGATACACCGGATTGACGCTCGATCTCTTCAACCATGGAGACCTATAGAGTAACCATCAAGCCATTGAATATACAAGGGCATGCCGTACTCTCTTCCATGGGGGAGAGAAGTCAATCTCCTTGGCAGGACCCTCAGGGCCTTCAGGATGGAAGGTGACCTTGTAGGTGCCAAAGATGGACTTAACCTGAATAACACAAGCTACTCGGCGAGCAACTGTAGTCGACTTACCATTCCAGAGATCATTTCCTCGGTCATGTTCATGAGATCGTTGTAATCAGCATAGGCCATATAGAACTCACAAGAGG